GTTATCTGCAAGCTGCCGGACTTTATAATAATCCCAAATCAAGGAAGTTGCTAGTTCGTATTTTATGGCTTCTGACATTGGACGATAGCCAAGGCAATATTTCGCGAGTGTTTGAAACTTACAATAATAAGAGCGAAGTTCCTACATGGTATTGGATAACTTTTATCCCGCAGCTCATCGTCTGTCTGATGCATAAAGAAGCAAGACATGCACGTACTATTCTCATGAAGATTGCCAAACAATATCCACAGGTTTGTTAATTTGCAAAGATTTAGCAAAATGTAAAAATTGATTTTTTAATAACTTTAAATGTTCGATTTTTTGCTGTAATTAGGCTTTACACTTCCAATTGAGAACAGCCAAAGAAGAGTACAAACTTATTAAAAAACAGGCAGCTATAGCTGCCGCACAAGCTCGCGCTGGTCAAATGGCAGCGTCTAAAGTGAATGCACCGGGAACGCCAACTTCCATGACGCAAATGCCTTCTACCACTTCCGGAAATGAGGGAATACCATTGCCATCTACACCACAAATAAATCCCAGTGTTATGAATGGAGGTGGACATTCTCGATCTGTCCAAGCAAGTCCGGAACAATCAAGTCCTATTCAAACGAGTCCTGGCCAGATAACCCCTCAAGTAATTAACAATCCGATACCCCAAAGTCCAGCCATGCAGATTGGAAACGGTTCTATGAACGGCATGGCTGCATCACCACCAAACATTTCATCACAAACAACAAATGTAGTTTCTAATGGAGCTTCTCCTGGCGTTCCCGGCACTCCTCTGAATAGCCATGCTTCGATTCCGGGTACACCTTCGAACAATCATGTATTACCGACCACCCCAACTAATGGCACACAAAATCAGGGAACAAGTAATACAACAAATGGTACCCAAAATCACATTCCTTCAACGCCAACAAACGGAACAACGTCGAACAATTTGCCTCAAACTCCGACAAGCAATAACATGTCTGCGACCCCAACAAACGCTAATATTCAAGTTCACGTTCCATCAACACCAACGACCGGAGGGATTCAGAATCACATAAATGGAGCGACGGTGAGCAACGTCGAACCCGGAAGATCTCCGATAATAAATGGTCCTATTAATATGCAAAACTTTCCTTCAACGCCGCAACCTCAACAACCAATATCTAAGCAACCATGGGAACATGTTGAAGATATTATGTCTATCTTGA